AAAAAAAACGACCCCCGCCCAAACAGCAAAAAAAACAAACACGCCCCCCGCCCAAACAGCAAAAACAAAAAATGTCCACCCGCCCAAACAGCAAAAAATAAACACGTCCACCCGCCCAAGCAGCAAAAAAACACACGCTCGGAAGGGGCGGGGGGCGTGTTCATTTTTTTGCTGTTTGGGCCGGGTTTGCTGTTTGGGCGGGGCTCGCGCCCCCGCCCAAATAGCAAAACATAAACACGCCCGCGCCCAAATAGCAAAAACAATAACACCCGAAAAGACCAAACAACAAAAAAGACCAGACAACAACAAAAATAATCACTCTTACCGGTGACTTAGTAAGTAGGTGAATAAGGACTAGGGGTGTTATATGAGCTATAGTCTAAACTCTTTAAAGGGGGTTAAATAAGGGAATATATTAGGGACCACTATAGGGGTTATTAAGGGGGATACTAGCAGTTTAGACTAGAGGTCATATGGTTATAGGGTGTAGTTAGAGTAGCAACAGCAGCAGTCAAATTAACAGCACTAAGACAAGCAATGCAACAGCAATAATACAAATCCAAGTAATCGCAGTATATCGCAGTAATGGTACCATGGAAAAACGCTTGAAATTAATCAGGCTGTTAGTAATGGCAATTCTTTCCTCTTCAAAATTGGAGTACTTTGCAAAGTGCAGAGTCGCCATTCTAGGGGTTGGATTACGAACATCCTCTTGTTCAAAATGTCTGGATGCCTTGGGCACCCTAGGGCAGGGAGCGCATGTTGAGAAATCCAAGCAGCAGCAAGTTGACAGAGCCTCAGCTATGAATACCATTGTCACCATGAACATTATGAGTATGCGTATTACTATGAGTACATTGATTACATTTTTTGTTATTGTTGTTATTGAATTGTTAAGGCTATCATTATTCTTACAAAGGTAGTCCCAAAATTAGGGTGGTGTTTTGGTACCCCTAGATATTAGGTGCCTTGCCATCATTTAGAACCAAAAGTGGCCGACAAAAAAGAAAATCGCCCATATCTATTACCATTGATATCAATTTCTTACCCTACGCCCTAAACCCTAAATGCTAACTATATATGTTAGTTGTTCAAGGTACCTGTTTCCAAAATAGCCATAAGGTCGGTTCCCTGTCTGGTTAGGATCCCCTTTTAAGGAAGTGCATTCCCAATGGTCCATACCTTACAGGGACCCTTAAAACAACCCATATATATATATATACTGCTATTGTCATTGCAGGTCGCTTTGGTGCCGGAGTTCTGGGAGCCGGCTGGGTCCATAGTATGTTGCCATTAAGGAACTTGAAGGGATCAGATTGGCTTGATATGAGCTTTAGTCTGAACTCCTTAAAGGGGTTTATAAGGGTGATTTTATAGGGAGTATGATAGGGGCTTTTAAGGTTGATACTAGGAGTTTAGACTCTGGCTCATATAGGGGTTTCTCAAAATTGTGGGTACCTTTAGGGTTTAGGGTTTCAGGTTTAAGGTTTAGGGTTTAGGGTTAACATAGGCTTGATATAGGCCATTCCTGGACATTAACAATGAAATAACAACAATAACCCCACAGGTTAGGGTTTAGGGCTTAGGGTTTAGGTTTACCCAAAATCGTGTACATTGGGTTGACATAGGGATGGATTATAAAGGGGGTATATGGGTAGTTCCCCAGATTAGGGTCCTATTCTGGCATTATTCTGGTACCCCTAAATATTACGTGCCGTAATAGAATCTATAGCCCAAAAGGGCCTCAAATCTTGGGAAACCCCTGTAGAGGGATCATGTTAGGTTTATGGGTTTATGGATATTTCCCAAGTAACGGAGAATGATATGAAGCAGAAGATCGGAAAATGAAGCGGAAACTGGGCTTTGCAGGGCTCATATAATGCAAAGATTGAAGGAGCCTGAATAAATGAGCTACCATAATAAAGAAGGCTTGTTCTTTGCCATATATAAGCTACGGTACTATGAATATCAAGGTTACCAAACGACTGATGGAGATGGAGGTCTCTTTAATCGTTTAACATAGTCTCCAACATATTCCCTAATAGGAAGCCATGTCCGTTCATTGAATGGGAATATTGTAGCTCATATAGCCATATTATGGTACTAGCGAAGTTCCTTAGCTGCAGCCCAGCACTAGCGCTGTGGCGCCAACGATCCTGGGGCAGAATGGGCTCGCACAATCTTGCCATTGAGCTAGATCTTAGGGTTTAGGTTTTAGGGTGCAAGGTTTTTTATGGTTGCTTGGTAGCCTGTATAGGGACTTCTAGAGGGCTCCATACTCCAATTCCCAACCCTAAACTGAACCCGAAGCCCTAAACATAAACCCCATGCCATATATGAGCACGTAGACCCGTGAGCTTGCCCCGAACCACAAGCCCAACACCCGAAACCCTGCACCCTGACCAATAAAATCTGAAACCCTTAAACCCTTAAGCCCTTAAACCCTTAACTCACACCCTGAACGCTGCACCCAGCCTAAACCCTAAATCCTAAACCCTATTAAGCCCTCTGAAGAACCCAAACCCTACAACAGTTCTTTTCTTCTCCAAGGCGGCTGCACCGACCTCGGGGCTCAGGCTTTGCATGTGGCCTTTCATGGTGTCATCGGGGTTCTCAGGAGTATAGGTGTTATATACAGCTTATAGGGTGAGCTTATGGGGTTACATAGGGTTTATGCATCCAACAGCCATGGAAATCACTGTATCGTTTAGGATTTCGGTTCGGCACGGGACATATGAAAACATTTTTTTTTTTTAAACGGTGCAAGGTTTAGTGGCGGCGGGGAATGGATATGGGTACTGTAACATGATGGGGGTATATATGGATATTATATAGGGATACTTACAGGGGTCCACTCCCCCACCCCCCTTTTGTGCAGCAGTAAGTTTTGCAAGCATACAGTGAAGATGCCGTTGCTGGAGGAGATCCTGCAAACCGGCAAGTCCCCTAGACCCTAAACACGAAACCCCTTTGAATCTTGGGAGTTGGAGCATCTCAGAGACCCGGAATGGTACCAGATTCCTTCCATGAACAGTATTACCTGTATATACAACACACATTTAATCCTGTTCCCTTGGAAAGCCTAAACCAGGCAGTGCGGAAGCATGGATCCACCTCCCCAACATAGACACCAAATACGTCCTAATTGTTTTGGACTTATTCAAGGCCTATGTAGGCAGCGGGGGAGTAAGGTGGGGGGTTGTAGTATAGGATCCCGTGATGGAGGATCCCGTGATGGAATTCCGGTGCAGGTGCTTTCTGCCGTGGAGGTGGATTCTGGCCATCCGAATGCGGGAGCGACAGGGCACAACATTGCCTCACCCGACATTGCCGCAGCCTGGAGGGAACCTTGCAGGTGTTTAGTCATGCAGGTTTCATATGGGGCTCATGTAGACTTCATATAGGGTAATGCAGGGGTTATGTAGGTTGCGTAGGGTAGAACTGGTTTAGGGAGAGAGTAACAAGCGTTTCATAGGGACTGTATAGAGCTTAAGCCAAAACCCACCCTAAACCCTAACCCCTAAACCCTAAACCCTAACCCCTAAACGCACTGGTAAGGAAGTCCAGCATTTGGTAGCGGAAGGCCTTCTGCGCCGAGTCCCTGAAGACATGCTGGCAGAAACAGAGGAGCGCATGAAGTACGAAGCTTAGTGGTGGTCAGTAATATCACTGTGGGTTAGTGGGGAGTAAGGGTACATATATATGTATATATATATATATGTTTACACATACACACATGTATATGCATATATACATCTGTATATATATATATACATATAGGTTGTAGGGTTTCGAGTTTGGGGCGAGTATGGATTCTTATATGTAGGGATTATATCAGAGTTTAAATCTGTAATTCCCTGCCAACCACCAGTAAGGAAGGTCTTTGGGCGCACTTCTGGTGTGTGGAGGGATTGGGCTATTTGCTGAAGAGGTACATTTCTCAGGCTCAATCGCAGCTGCGCCTGGGCCTGCGCGCTGATTCAATGAGGCTTCACAATGGAAAAGTCGCTGTTGGTGGCACCCTGCGCGGCGTTGGCAATGAGCCCTCTCCAATCAAAGCCTCAGCTGACGTGGTGATCCTGGCCATGCCTGCCCCTGATGCCCTGCAACTCTTGCCAGACCTGCCAGACCATATTGCCAGCACGATGTCTCGCATCGAGTACGACAGCCGCACGGCCATTGCCATCAGCTTTGATTCTGCCTTGCAGGATGCGATTGTTCGAAGGTTTGACGGGCTTGCGGAAGTGGCCTTGGATGTACAAGCGCCGCATGAATTGCATTTGGTGTCATGGCAAAACATGAAGGACCACAGCCAAGCTGCCCACGGAGAACCAGTTCGTCTTGTGGTTCATTCTGCAGCCGGCACTTTGCTCTCTGACGGCCGGGCTTCGGCCTTGCGTGCGCTAAGCGGAATGCTCGGGCTGTCGCCCACCTTGCTGGAAGGCCTTGTGCTCGACTGCAAGGTTGTGCAGTGGCAGGTTTGCCAGATGGTGCGCCCCTTGGAAAGTGTTCCAACTTCGCTGCAGCTCCCTGAGCCAGCTCTTGCTCATGGGCCCATCATCATTGCTGGCGATTTCTGGTGCCAAAGCAGCTTCCTGGGATGTTTCTGTTCGGCCAGCGCGGCTGTGCGCCAGGCACTCGCTATCCTTCGACCAACTTGAGCTCTCGATAGCAGCAAAGGCTCAGGTCCATCGCACCTGCCAAGACGTGCACTGGCTACCTGGGATCCTACCATTAAGCAGCATCAAGATGCACAGGGTACTGACCATGGCAGGGTGGGGCGGCAGATGCCTGAATGTGTTCGCGACCACCTGGCTGCCACGTTGTGCCGCTGCCACCTTTTCCCTGGCCACTTACCGACTCGCACGGCATTGGTTCAGGAACATTGGATGTGGAAGTCTAACCCTGTACCAAGCCCTTCTGGCTCCACTTGGCTCCCCTCCGAAGACCAGGCATATCCATGCTCTGAGTTGGGAAGGCGCGCAGAAATAGGAGTTTCTGCATTCTTGGGGAGGCTATATCGACTACAACCACCAGACGAAAGTTTTTTCACAGCGGGAGTAGTTGAGGTGAAGCTGCTCTCTGGTATGGTTCGCCCGCTGCCATACAAACCAGACTCCGAATGTCCCCCCAAGCTCTAACATCCCAAGCCCGTATAACCCTCCCCACCTCAATCCTGAACCCTCTACATTTCCTGGAGCCTCCACAGCCCCCAAACCCACAATGCTCGAACCGTGGAACCATCCCTAAGCCCGAAACCCTAAACCCTAAACCTTCAGTCTCCAAGCCCCAAACCGCTACAACTCCAAAAGCCTTAAAGCTGGGGGCTTAGTAGGGAACAAAAGAATAGTAGTGTATTAAGGGAGAATGGAAAAGAAAATGGGTTTAGGGATAAGGGTTTAGGGTTAGTAGGGAATATCGGGATTGTATTCCCTTATTCCGCACTAAGAATCAGTAAGATTAAGACCCCCCAAACCTTGAAACCCCAAGCAGCTTTTTTCCTGCCCCCCCAAGCTTTCAATGGGTTCAAACTCAGGATAAATTGCCAACTGGGGCTTAGGGCGCTTAGGGTTCAGGGGTTCAGGTAGCAGATCGTTTCGTTGCTGCTACTTGTAGCGCTTCCTGCTTGAAAACGGCAGCGTCTTGTGGCATCGCATACGTTATCTCATTGTTTCTTAGTAGGGAATAAGGGAATATAATCACTACATAATCTCCCTACATAATATATTCTCTTATCCCCTGCTAACCCCTAGGAAGTTATTGTCCTCGTTATAGCGACCATGCGCCTGGAAGAGCCCGAAAGGCTGAGCAAAGCCTGCGCTTCAAAATGCTGCATGTCATACCAGAGCTTACCTGCCACTTAGGATTTAGGGTTTAGGGTTCGGCTTCATTTCAACTTTTTGCATGTTTGAATCAACCGACTTGCAGTGTGGTTCGGGAGCTGGGGAGGGGTATAGATCAAGTTCAGGTACGGCTAAACGAACATTCAGCAAGTGCCTGAGGTCAATATTAGTTAAGTAGCCGATCAGATGCCAAGATCTGCTAGCAAGCATTCTCTAGCCTGTAGTCTAGGTTCACAGTCTATTATAGTATCTTAGAGTATAGTATAGTATAACTTGATGTAAGCACGCATGTGCTTCAATCTCGCTGAATGAGCAATGGTGGGCTGCCTTCCCCGTGCAAATTTGAAGGTGCACCGCGTCAGAAGATGGGCGGCGCCGTTGTATGCTCCCGTAAGAAGTATCCGCCTAAAAGCGGTCTCTGATGTTTGGAAACACCCATGTAAGTCTCTGAGCACCCCTGCGCTCTTTGACTGCCAGCCGTTTCCCGGTCAACAGGGCCTCTCGTGATTTTGTATCTGCAGGCTTTGATCACCTGCTTCCTCTTCCAGGCCTTTGGGAGAAACTTGAGTAAATGCAGGGAAGTCAGCTCAAGGCTATTTCGTCAAAGCGCAACTGTGGGAAATGTTGGGTCCTTGCACTGGCACAGGCCGCAGCTGTCAGCGCGACAGGCGGGCATCATCATTGCATGAGCTATAGTCTGAACTCCTTAACTGGGGTTTTATGGGGGATTGTATAGGGGAGCAATTTAGAGGCTATTGGGGATACTAGGAGTTTAGACTATACCTCACATGGCTGCGCATGGTCTGCTCGACTGCCTGCCAATTCAGGCAGCGAGAGGGAGTTCACTTCCATCTCATGTGGTGCCGACTACACACTGGCTGTTGCGACCGCTTGGCACTCAATTCGAGGGAGGGCTTAAGGGCCCCATCTTAACATAGTAACAATAACAACAAGAGTAATAGTAAAAGCAAAAGTAATAGTGATGGCAATGGTAATAGTAATAGTAATAGTAACGGTAATAGTAATAGCAATAGTAATAGTAATAGTAATAGTAATAGTTTCGAGCAGGATGGGACTCCCATCACCTGGGGCTTCCCGCTTAGCGAGCGGCCAAAGGCACGGCATGTTGCGGCAGACCATTGCACGAAATGTCCTATAGTCTAAACTCCTTCAAGGGGGGTTATATCGGGGATTATATAGGGGACTACAAAAGGGTTACTAAGGGGGATGCTAGGAGTTTAGACTACAGCTCAAATGTCCCTGAGGGAATCCTTTAAGTCAACTGACCGCAGTGCTCAAGAGCCAACATGCAAACCGAAAACAGATCTCTGGTTAGATTGTCTTCGAACTATTATGTCATACTATAACCTACTATATTGTGATATACGTAGACGACATCACTGCAGCCACTGGGACCCCACACCACCCGGTCACCCAAACCCACCAGCCTCAACCAGCCCTGGCATAGCCTCTGCCGGAAGATGGCATGGCGATCTCATGTACCGAATGTCTGGAGGGCACATGGGACAAAATCCAGGAGCTCTTGTGCCTTAGCTGATGATGCCAGTCTTTGCCTGAATCTTATCTTTAGGGTTTAGTACATCTAGCACGGAATGGAGACACATAGTCCCCAAGAATGTAGTAGTAGTCTCCATTCCCTACTAGCAATCCACCAAAGACGCAAACCCTAAATCCACCCTAAGCCCTATACCCCAAACCCTACACCCACCTTAAACCCCCCCAAAAAAAACCCTAAACCCTAAACCGCGTGTGCCGTAGGTCGGCAGCCGGGCTCTCCGATGTCGCGCAGGCCTTCGCTACTTCAAAATCTGCGGGAAAGATGTTTTGCCATTTTTTCAGGGTTTAGGGTTTAGGGTTTAGAGTTTAGAGTTCTTCCCAATAACGTTGGGACATATTTTTCCTTACCCTCTCTTTTGAGGGAAAGTCGTCTTCCCAATAGTTTGGTGGATTTTTTTTCCCACTTGTTTCGGGTTTGCTCTGGAACTGTCTGCTTGAGATGCTTCCAGAGATGAACCCAGTTCCAGGAGCCGCCTACGGTTTAGGGTTTAAGGTTTCAGTGTTTAGGGTTGAGGGTTAATGCGGATACGAGAAGTAACTTACTGGGGGTTTGTAGGAAAGTAGGGAATGTACTATATAGGGACTGAGACTATATAGGGATTATATCCCCACTAACCACCAGTAAGATAATAGCGACAGCATGATAAACAGTTAAGTGAGTAATAACGGTAGTAGCAGCATACTATGGCAAGGATACGGGGGGTTGTCAAGATTATGGTCCCCAAAAGGGACCGCAATTTTGGCAACTTATCATGTCAGTTACAAACCCTCAAACCCCCTGAACCCTAAATCCCTAAACCCCGTAAAGCCTTAAACCATTACGAATACTTCTTGCTTACCAGGCAACGCATCACGACCTGCTGGAGCTCGTTACGGAGCTGGAGAGCATCCAGGAAAGCCGCGTGCTTGTTGACCAGGGGCTGCTTGCAGACCTCATCCGCCGCTCGGCATGTAGGGTTTAGGGTTATACATAAGGATTACATAGAGGTTATGTAGAGATAACGGAGAGAAAACATGGAAACTACAATTTAGGGTACTATTTAGGGTGTAGGGTTTGGGGTTTAGGGTTTACACCAATATGTGGTTGTGCAATTTCCACAAGTAGGGGGACTCCCAAAGAGCCCCCAAACATCATAATCCTTATTATAGGGGCACCCAAAACAGGTATCCCTAATTTTGGGAAAGTCAAGTTTCATGAGCCAGGAATCCCCGCCCATCACAAGGGTAGAAGGTATCCGAAAACTTAAGGGTTCAGAGTTGAGGGTTTAGGCTCTAGGGTTTAGGGCGTAGGTCTGTATCATTGTTACCGTTATTGTTGGTATCCTGTTGTCAAATCCCAGGCAAGTATGACTCCCAGATGCAGAACCGATCAGGGCCCTTTCCGGAATACCTCTCTCTCGACCTGCCGGTGGACGAGCGCGAATCTGGAATGGTGTTAAGGAAGTGAAACGTCTCAGAAATCATAGTAAGGAAATCGTAGTATTGACCGTGTGTTCATAGGGAGGAAGCGGTAATTTCCAAAATAGATATTTATACACAATATATATGTACAAGGTGTATTTTTACACGAAAATATGCATATCCATTTTTTGGTAGCTTAATTGCATCCCATGGGCTCCTAGGACCCCCACTACCTGGTACCCCACTACCCATCTAAACCCAGGTGAAGCAAAAATATGGCCTCAATAGTAGTGGGGTCCCGGGTAGTGGGGATCCAAAGACTTCCCAAACCCTAAACCCCAAACCCTAAGCCCTAAGCCCTAAGCCCTAAACCCTAAACCCTAAATCAAACAGCGACTAAGGAATACAAGATGCTGCCGCTCCCCACCAAGACCTTACGACCCATCCTCGAAGGTGCCAAAAATCAATAATGGGGGTTTAGGGTTGTAGGGTTCAGGGTTTAGGGGTTGCCTTTAAAGACTCAGATTCAGTTGCCCTACTAGAGTTAAGGGTTTAGAGTTTAGGGTTTAAGCGGAATATGGGTATATAGAAAATAATGGCGTTTCCGCGCTGTAATAACTTGATTTAAGTCCCTTAGCAGCAACCCAGCAGTAGTTGTGGCTGCTACTTCTAGCTCGGTCGTGGTGCAGACTAAGAAGAATGAAGCTAATATTCTCGATAACAAGACTGCACTAATTAAGCTTTTGAAGGCAGCCACAGCGGTATGCATACCAGTACGAATAATGGTCACAACGCAAATTTCAACAACAATACTAATACGACGTGTATTTGTAGCTGTAAGTGGTTTCTTTCTTGTCCAGGAACCACTGCGTCCGAGCTGCTGGACCATCTGAGGGAGGAGTTTGATGTTCCCCTTCATCCGCACTTCGTGATGCGGATTCTGGAACTGTCCATCGACCTCCACACGAAGCGAGATAAGGCCCACGGCCCTGTCATGAAGCTCCAAGTGCCGGGAGTAGCCCAGAGCGTGGTGAACGTCAACGTCTCCGAGAGTTGCAGCATTGCGCAGTCCAGGACCTGACGAACAGTCCACATCTGTGTTCCGCTTGCATGTTCTTCTTCTTGTTTAAGAAGTGATGGAAGGTGCTGGTGGATTTTGTTGCTGCACATCTGTCACTCGTTTGCTGTATATGAGTCCCGGGTTACGCTTACATCGCAAGATGCCTGCTCAGCAAGAAGCAAGATAGCCGCAAGATCTTCATCCCCCCCGCGCAAAGTTTCGTGTCCTGCGTTGCAGCGTGGTTGGTTGTCTTGGTGGTGGTGGTGGTGGTGGTGGTGGTGGTGGTGGTGGCGGTGGTGGCCGTGGTGGCGGTGGTGGCGGTGGTGGCGGTGGTGGCGGTGGGAGTGGTGGGGGTGGTGGTGGTGGTGGTGGTGGTGGTGGTGGTGGTGGGTGGTGGTGGTGGTGGTGGTGGTGGTGGTGGTGGCGGCGGTGGTGGTGTTGTCGTTTTTTTGTTTTGTTTTCTTGCTGTTG